TTAAATGTGCAAGAAAGACCCTGGGCCGATAGTTCTGTATTTCGTGAGGGCTTTCTGCCTTAAATCAGCAGTGAAGTGCTCTTCCGTATCAGCTAATCTGCTTTCAGTGCAATCAAAGCACAGTTCTGTAGTTCTTAAACTACAGATATTCCATCACTCTTTAGGATTTAATCGCGTACTGCTCTCCTCTTCCTGGATCCTCAGATTAATGCAGGAAAAGCTGTCCATGTTTCTGCTTTGAATCAATTTGCGTGTTCGAGCTGTTTTTTTTTTCTTTGACATGTAATTCATGATTCTTCACATGTTTGCAGTTGATCCTGTGGATGCTGAAAGCACCAAAATGGATTCCAATTTCGGCCTGGCTGGGATGACTGGATCGCCCAAGAAGCGGGTTCGAGTGGAGTGCAAGTGTGGGGTGGAGACCTGTCGAAAGTATTTATTTTAATGGAGGACGGAGGTGACTTCTCTCAAAGGCAGCCAAATTTTATTGGAGGACGCACTTTGTACAGTTTGTCCTGTTTTATTGTTTTAGCCTCAGTTCTCTTTTTATATGTTTGTTTATTTCCTGGGAAATAATCCTGTAAAACTGAACGGGGGTCCTACCATTCCTCTTCAACAGGGTTTAAGTGAAATGAACCTTCTTTTGTAAAAGTGTACATTGGAAAATAGGCTTTATTTTTTTATTTTTCATAGTTTTTCATCTTTGAAAGGCTTTATGCAATGAAAAGCTTGTTTGTTAAAGCTGGTAACTGTGTGTAATTTATCCAGTAGACCTCTACTGTTTGTTTTTTAGCTAAGGCAGTCTTCAGCCGTTCAAAGGGAAAGTAGTAACATCGAAAATAGAAATGTGTTGTGAATAAAGTTCACAGAGTCTAGAAGGCGGAGCTGACATCTGTATGTTCCCACCATTCCCTGTTCTCTTCATTGCATGTCCTGGCGTTTGCCAAGTCTGCGTAGAGCAGGTTTTCTGATAGGCTAGTGACAGGGTCTCAGCCTGCAAGATCATACCTGCGGCCTTGTCTCTTTGTTGTCCTGCAGAACATCGCAGGGGCTTGCAAGCCAGTGTGTCGCACTAAAACTGCACGAGCTGCCAATCAGGCACCAGGAGATCGAGGTCTGAGCACTCTTTGCCACAAGTGCATTAACACAAACATGTGGACCAGCTGTCTTGATCACACCTGGGAGGCACTCCGCTGAAGTCTCATTTCTCCTTAAGGGGGTGCATGTTACACCTGTTGGAGTCATTTGTGACGCATACCTTTGAGGGATTGATTGTTCTTTGATCGTCTTTCCTGGTAACACTGATAAAACCCGTACAAACATGCCGGCTACAGAGTCAACGGTATGTATTCAGGTGTCTGAACAACAGGATGTGATGTGGGGAAAGATATCGGTGCCGCACGCGTCTCAGAGCACACTGCAAAATCAGTGGGCACAGTGATGACTTTGCTTTGGTTCCTGTGTGTGCCACCTCATTCTGAGCAGAAGCTGGCCTTGATGGAGAAGTTGGTGCCAGGGACAACGATAATCCAAGTGGCACTAGCAGCAGAGAATCACTCTGCAGCAAATGTGGGCTGCTCACCAACACTAAGCTTCTTGGGTAAATCCTTGCTGTAAGTTAATAACCTCTCTGGCAAGCTTAGAAAGACTGCTTTGGAGAAGTGTTAGTCCTTGTTTTTGAATATATTGCTCTTATGATAAAGGCTGTATGAAATCGGCCTATCTGCAAATAATGGTTTTCTCAACCAAAAATTAAGTTCTGAGAATGAACCCAAAAGAGCCATGTTTTGGGAGAGCAGGTCATGTATCTGATGATGAGGACTCTCTTCAAGGAGGTGGTGGGAGAAAACTACACAGCTGGCCAAGGCAGTGTTTCTGTCTCTGACGTTGAGTACAGAAGCTGTGATAGCAAGATCTCGTGCCTCACTGGTAGTTACTCCTGTGTGCCCGTGTATGTGAAGCTCATCTGTTTGTCAGTTTGGTGCCGTTGTGTATATGCGGGTACTAACTCAAGCATCTCCCCTGTTGTTTGAAATAGTAATTCAAAGATTTTAGAACAAACCCTGTCTGGTAAACAGTACTTAGTCAGCTGTGCCCGTTTGTGTTTGCTGATCACTCATTCATCCTAGTGATTTGTGGTTATGATGACTGAACGAGTTAACTGTGAGACAGGGTGGCAGCAGTGTTGTTGTTAGTAGTGCCGACTGCACGGTGGGCTTGCTTTGCACATCTGTGTCGTTCTGCACCAGGTCGGGTGACTGGATATCTTTGCAGGACAGAAACATTTCTTAAAAACCGGGCTGCTGATATCTTAAAAAAATAAATCACGAACGTGGTCACTCGGTATTTTGAGTGTACTGTGGGGCTTCTGTGCCGCACAGGAGCGGAAGAAAAAGTTGACAGTTAGCCCTCTTAATCCCCTTCTGTGCAAGTCTCCTAGTGAGCCTATCTTGGATGTTACCTCATTACCTTCCTTAGTTTGTCATGGTCGTTTTTAATCCAGGGACAGTTCAGAAAATGTAACAGTTTTACAGCGGTGTAGGGCTTGAGGTGAGAGGGTGTTAACTCGCTGCTTTCCCTTTAAGCATCTCCCTCAATTTTAACACTCCTGTGTCTGATTAGACTTACAGTACTCTGCAGGTTTATCCCTACCTCTGATCAAATAGGGGTTTTAAACTGCTGCTCATGTTATGTGGTGAATTTTGTCCCTGTCTCGCTGGGATATGTTTACATCTGGCAGTGTGCGTACAGTTTTATGTATAGCCCATTAGTTAAGATTTGTTTTAGATAGGTGTATACTGAGTATAAAAAAACATCACTCATAACAGCAGTGAATTCATTGTTGCTACAAAGTGGATTGTCTTTTTTTGTAGCAGGTGCACTGGTAGATTTTTTTAACAGACGTGATGTAGACACACCTATGAACAGGTCGGCTGTGGAAGTCCAAGGCTAGGAGTGTGTGTGGCCACCCTTGGAGATAACCCAAGCAGCACATCTGTGCCTCGTGCTCTGCACCAGGTTGCGGATGCTGTCGGAAGGGGATGGAATCCCACCCTTTCCCAGGGCCGGGACAAGCATGTGCTGGAGCACAGGGCCCTGAGTGCCGCACCTTGTCTCAGCTCATTGTACTGATGCTCGAGGAGGAGCAAGCAGAGCATCCTTACGTGAGAGAGGCCCTGTGTTGTCCTGCTGGAGTGCCCTCACATCGGCGGAAAAGGCAGCAAGTGATCCCAGAATTTGAGCTGTGTAGCCCTGTGCAGTCAGGTTGCCATCTGTTACAACAGGTCTAGTTGCAACAGGACTCCACCCTCCTGCCCCAGACCATCCCTCGTCGGTCGGTTGTGCACAGCAGCTTGTCTCTCTGCACCTCTGTGTTCACTGGCGATCACCAGGGGACGTCACAGCTATAGAGCACCTGGCTCCGCTGCAGACGGGTCCACCCTCCAATACGCCCATGTCACCAAGGCGGTGATCTCTTGGTCTGCCAGTTCCGTTGGTTCCTTTTGTTTTTCTTTGTCTTTCACCAGCCCTGACATTTCATCAGTGAAGTGCATCATCGCCTGAGTTACCAGCTTTCTCGCTAAGGGGGCCAGTGCTGGGGCCACAGTCGGCACTGTTCTGGTGTGTCGATCAGTCATCAATTCATCCAGCTCATGCCAAAATCATTTAAACCCTATTTAAAACTGCTCTAGCTTTCCCACAAACGTGCATGCATAAAGAGTGATGTTTCATTTGATGCTAGGTACCTTGAGGAGCGTGCAGAGTGTTTTCCAGCAAAACTGGAGAGAAAAAAACTTGCCAGAAATGGTGTCTTAATGTTTTTATGTCCGTTGGGGAAAAATAGGACTTCCGTCTTGTCTTCTTAAACCGTTTTTTAAAAGAGAAATTTTAAAATAGTTGGAGACATTTAAAGGGATTGTGCCAAATAACTTCCGCTAAGTTTGATTCCTGGAAACGTTTACTTGAATGTTTGTATTCGTTTTTCTGAAATATTGAGATCTAGGTGCTGTAAATTGGTTGTAGAGCATATAGAATGTTTCTTTGTAAGGGCATGAAAAAGTTACTTTATTGCAGGCTGGTTGGTCAAGCACAGTGTGCAGCGTATACGGTTTTTTCATGTATATGAACAGTTGTGGATTCGGGGATCAGTCTTGGATCCAGCACCGTTGTATTCTAAACTCTGGTTCCGTCGGAGTTTCTTACTCTATTCTCTCAAGGCCGGCTCTCCCTACCACCTAGGAAATCTTGGAAATGTTCTGGCCAGAACTTTAGCCCTGGCCTGAATTTCCCTGTCTCCCGTCTGTGTGATGGGGAAGACCTCTCGGGGAGCTGTCTCAAGTGGAGGCCCATGGTCCGTTTCTTTGGCAGTGGAATACTGTGGCGTGCCTCCTGCTGAAGCTGGAGGGCGTGTCTGTTCCTGCTCTGGCCTGCACTGTAGCTGAGCAGGTCGCTTTTTCAGGCAGAGCACAGCTCGCTGCGGTTTTGCATGATCTCTTCACCGCTGGCTTCAGCCGTCACACGAGCGTCTCCGCAGGTGTTTTCTGAAAGCTTTTTTCAAAACGCGATCCAGACTGTTCGGGAGGGAGAAAGTACTTTCTTTTGAAATGTTTTTTTTTTGTATGTTGGTTGGTTTTGGTAAATTCCATTTCCTCAAGGATAGCAGCTGTGAAATGTGAATTAATCCATCTATATGCTTTAAATGTTTTTAATTTTTGAGAAAGTAATCATTTTAGTTTTTTTTTTATTAATTGCTTTTTGTGCTTCTTATGTAATCTTAAACCAGTTACAAGAGTATTGTTTGGCAGTGGAGCACTGCTTAGATGGATCTCAAACTCACTTTTTGGAAGATGTAGGATCTTGGATGTGGGAGGAGGCCCAGAACCTTGATTGTCTTTTGTGACATTAAAATACTACCAGATGACGAAATCGGACAAGCACTGTCTTGAGTATAAAATATGCATCTTTAGTTTACTTTAACATCTGGAAAAGCTGCTTTTCTTCTCTTCTGCTTTAAAATATCACTTTCATTTTCAACAGCATTAAATTAATCAAAAGAACATTTACAGTACCTCCTCCCCCACCAAAACAGTCTAATATTCCTTTTCCAGTCAGCGTGCAGCAAACCAGGTTAGAAAAGGGTGTTTTATCCTTTTCTAGGAAAAAGCATGGCATCCACCCATTCAAGGTCATTCTGCTTGTCCTGGTGAGGGTCGTGGACTGACAGGAGGTGGGTTGCGAATTCAATTTCTGTGTGCCCCACTGAAAAGAGAGTTGCATGCCTTTTGTAGTTCTAGTTTTAAGTGATTGAGAAAATCACCACATAAGGTTATTGTAATCCTTTATCTTTAACGTGTTTCAGCCTGTCCAGACTTGACAGTGTTTATTGTAAGGGTTCCATTTAACAGCCTGTAAATTCTGTGTTCAGACGCAAAATTGTGGACCCCCTTTCTGCTGCTCCTACCTTGTTTTACCCTGAGCATTGCTGCGGTGACATCTCAGTGTCCGTCTGCCATCTTGGTTGTACTTTATCTACAAAGCATAGAGCTCAGTGCTACAATTTTGCAAGGATGTGACCCCCGAGTATTCAGAAATGTTGTCGATTTGAAGTGTACTCCATTTTTGAAAAGCATCATGTTTTTTTATTTTAAAATTATGCATTTTGTAAAAAAAAAGTTGTAAATAAAAATCTATTGTATAATTCTGTTGCAGAAAAATGCTGCATGTTCTCGTTTTCCTTTCTGTGTGCCCTGGCTGCAGGGGTAGTGGAGACCTCTGCTGTGATTACTGATTGCTTTATAAACACTACTGGGGTGTTGGGGTCATCGCCTGGCCAATGGCCAGGACCTCCTCCAACACCCTGCCTGCCCTTAGGGCTCTTGAGAGGCTCGGCCAAGCAGAGACTTGCCCTCTGAGAGCAAGCTGAGCTCCGTGGACCCGATGTCACGGGTTAGGGTTAGGGAGTCGTTCTGGGAGTCTGCTCTCCTGTTGGTACGCCTCTGCAGAGTTCGTTTTGCTCGAAGAAGCAGCCCGGGTTGAGGGTGAGTGGTTGTTTCTCCTGTGTCTTTGGCTCTGTGATTTCTTGGCTGAGCTGATTATTTCTCACTGTCTGAATCGGAGCTGTGGTCTGTGGTCTGTGGCCTGGACGTGGTCCAAGCCGAGGTTTCTACATCGACCTCCAGGGGAGTCTGCCGCGGCCCGTCTTGTCAAACTGGAAATACTCTCGTGATCCAGATCGAGACGAGGAGACACAGCCCTGTTGTCTCATGCTTTGTGGGAGGAGTTGGAGTTTCCTTCTTAAACTGGGTTTACTTTGCAGTCGTGTTGTGACTTTTTAATGGAGTCCCTTCTGGTTAGGATATCTAGGATGGTGGGTTGCCCGGGATTCCAGTTGATTCCCAGCCGCTTTTCGAGTCCTGCTTTTCCTGGCACAGCATGCTTGAGACCAGAATTAAAAAAAAGTTTATCAACCTCGACCTCTGAGCTTTCATATTAAGCACGTTCTAATTCTGAATCAATTTGCACATTGATCACCTTTCCCAGGCTTTGGAATTCCTGCTTTGATAACAACACGCACAGTAGACTCGATTCGGTAAGTTATTACGGTGCATTTATACTTTGTTCTGTGAAATAACCTCTCTTTTACTAGTACATGCACTTGGATAGTCATGTGCAGTTACTGAATGGCAAAAAAAATATATAGACCTAAGTCATAACAAAAATGTAATTCAAGCAGACGCTATTTTTCCAAATGGCTCAGCTTCTATTAAATTAAGATCTGTCCTGGATTATTCTTTTGAAAAGAATAAACTACCTGAAAAATAAGCTTTGTTAAAAAGTCTCCCTCTCCAAATAAGACTTGAATGAGATGCTACATGTTTCTTTAGATATTTTATCATTCTCCTTGCGTATGGAATATGAAAGTGCTTATTCGGGTTTCCAGCAGTGCTTGAGTGGGTTGCAGTCAGGATACAGATACAATATTCTCAGACAAGGCAGGAACAGCTCTGGACCTGCTGTTTTATAGGAGATGGTCATTCTGGTCATGAGCCAGTGACCAGCTCTTCTGGAGCAAGATTGGCACGTATGTCATCCCTTCAAGATAAAGTACTGTATATGTTTTATGGTGGATGTACTTCCAGCTGAACTTAAGTTGTCTTGACTGACTGAGAGACGGAGCTGCAACCTGAAGAGCCCCCTCTAATTTCTTTGGGGGCCTCATTTTGTTTGTGGCAATGTTTTCCGATATACAGGTCAATAAAAATGATCTAAATTTAAAGTCAAATAAACAATCTAGAAAGGCTTTAGTGCCACTGAATTGCCAGAATCCTCGACATTTCCACTCAGTTTAGAGGAACATTAAACCGACCGTCCCCAATCAATTAATCAATCAATCGAGGTTCATTTATCAAATGCACAACAATACGGCGGTCTTGTCGGCAATGAAATGCTTTTTCCGCAAGCTCGCAAGGAGAGATGACAGAAGTTGATAGAATTAAGGTTACGGAGTAGAGTACTATAACTTATACAATTTACAAGATTAACGATGGCTGGGATCCGAGAGACGGCCCAGGATGTTTTGCTGAAACACCTGTATGACCTGGGCGAGAAGGAGCTGAAGAGGTTCTGCTGCAAGCTGAGCGAGGTGGAGCACGGTGGGCGTTGCGTACGCTCCGGACAGCTGGAGAGGGCCGACCACATCGACACCGCCAAGCTGATGATCTCCACCTTCGGGGAGCAGGCCGTGAGCCTGGCTGTGGACATCCTGAGGGCCATCAGCTACTGCCAGGTGGCCACACAGCTGCAGAGCAGCTGGGCAGGTAGGGCTGAACGAGATCGGTGGTTGGCTGTTTTGGAATAAAGGGCGCCCTCCCCAGTCCCGCAGCATGAAGAGCTGCAGCTCCCACAAGTTGTGAAGGCGGTGAGGGGCGGAGGGCAAGCAACCACAAAGGAACGTGGAAGAAAGCGAGAGGAACGTGCAGGTTGTGCTTTTACCAGCTTTTACCAGCTGGCAGTTTCTTGAAGGACCCCTCTGTTCCTCTTTCAGGGCATCAAGGCGCATGCAGGAGGGAGAGAGAAGGTAGGCTGACATCCGCTTTCCTCCTCACAGGCTCTACAGGTTAGATTAACCCCCCAGTTCTTGTTGCAGTCATGCCAGCGTGACCAGGAGCCAGGGAATCTGTCTGATAAGGGTGTTGTTCAGACATGCCAGGCGGGAGAAACTGTCGTTCCAGTGAGGTGATCTTAATTGCGAAAAAGTCCCCAGTCCTTGTCTAGTTAGTGGGTGCTTGATGCCGACGTGCACCCCCTGCAGGGTGACGTTGAGTGTTGTCTCTTCATGCTGTCTCTTTCTGGGGTCCCCAGAGTACGTGTCGAGATACAAGGAGGTTATAAAGATGAAGTACGAATGGGTCCAGGACAACGCCGCCGGAGACCTGGACTTCAGCAGCTTCAGGAAGCTCTACACGGACCTGCGCATCCTGAGGAAAGGGGCGGGCGGGGGCAGGCGGGGCAAGCGGCTGGTGCGGCAGAACACGCTGGACAACGAGTGCGCCAGCCTGGGGAGCCTCCTGGTCCCGGGCAAGCCTCAGATCCTGGTCCTGCTCGGGATAGCCGGGATCGGGAAGACCTACACCGTCCGGAAGATCATGCTGGACTGGGCCTCGGGAGAGCTGTACAACCAGTTTGATTACGTCTTCCACCTGGATTGTAAAAGCCTCTGCAACGTGTTGGAGGAGAGCACCGTGCTGGACTTGATCTTTGAGAGCTGTCCAGAGCTCCGACAGGTCCCTGGGGAAGTCATTGGGAGCACCGAACGGGTCCTGGTCCTGATTGACGGCCTGGACGCTGTGGATCTGCCGCCAGACTCCGGGCCCTGGAAGGATGGGCTCGGCACAGCCAGGCTGCCCGTGCCCAGGCTGCTGCTCGGCTTGCTGAAGAGGAGGCTGTGCTCCCACTGGTCCTTGCTGGTGACAGTTCGCCCAACGGTGGTGGAGCAAATCATGACATGCAACCTTGCGTGCCAGTGGGCAGAAATCCTCGGATTCCCCAAGGAGAGGATAGATGACTACTTCCAGAGGTATTTTGAGGAGCCCGAAACTGCTGCTGAGGCTGTGCAGCACGTGAGAAGTAACGAAGTCCTGCTGGAGATGTGTGTGACTCCCCTCATCTGCTGGGTGGTCTGTGTGCTGCTGGATTCTGAGGAGAGGCCAAGAGACTCCATGACTTACATCTTAGTGAACTACATCTACACCCTTCTGAAGCACCACCATACAGACTCAGTGAGCGACAAAGAGATGCTTCAAAAACTCTGCCTCCTGGCCAGGACGGGCGTTGAACAACGAAAGTCTTGCTTTCGCATGCAGGAGCTGCCTGTAGAGCTAGCGGGCATGCCTAAGCTGCCCGACAGCTTCGTCATGAGAATTCTGACGCAGCAGGGGGTCACCAAGAGGTCGGAGTACTCCTTCACCCTGCCCGCTCTGCAGGAGGTGCTGGCGGCCATCAGCTTCGCCGGCGACGCCACCGGAGACCAGCTGGACGAGCTCCTGTCGAACGCCCTCCTCCCGGAGAACGGGCACCTCCGGGTTGTCGTCCAGCACCTCCACGGGCTGCTCCACGAAGAGAACTGGGATCTCCTCGAGAGCTTCGGCCTGCATCTGGGCTCCCGCCTGCGGGCTCGGCTCGCGCACTGGACGGGCGAGGCGCTGAAGGTGTGTCGATGCCGGCCGGAGGACAGCTACTTCCTCCTGGACCTCATGCTGTGCCTGTTCGAGCGGCGGGAGGAGGCGTTCGCCAGGGACGCCCTGCGCCAGCTGCCCGAGATCACTCTCCAGTGCATCGTGCTGGAAGGGAGGCACTTCCTGGTGCTGCGCTACTGCCTCCAGCACTGCAGGCCCAAGCTCGTGCTGCGCAACTGCAGCCTGAGGAGCCAGGAGGCCAGGAAGCTGCTCCCCCTGGTGGACAGGTGTGAAAGCTTCAGGTAAGGAAAGCTCAGCAGTGCCACAGCAGGGCTTAGTCAGCTAGAGACAGATGGAGCTTTTTACAAATCAGAGGAGGTTTCTAGTTTTCCATTGCCCATTCTAGCTGGTTCAAATTAATTTCAGCACACAGAGCAGGAGGCCTGACCTGAAAAATTGCCTGAAAAACTCTTTTCTTATATGGTGAATTACTAATGCATGTAATATTCAATTCAAGCTTTATTAAACTGGGGAAACGCACGGACCTTGTTTCATGGTCCAACACAACAGTACAACAAAGACCAACATTACGAACAAAGAATACAGTCCAGCTGTGCTTCAGGAGATTAGATACATCCCGGCCTCCTTGTAGCAACACCCGAAATAAGAAGATGAATGTGGGACAGTGGTAAGCTGTGATGGGGTGACTTGAGTGAGTTATGTTTTTAAGGAACCTGGACCTGCGTTTAGATCCGTTGGAGGGAGGCCATCGCCTGCAAGTGTGTCTGAGTCTGTCCAGCAAAACCCCCGTGATAAAGGGGTCACGTTTTAAATTGAGAACAAGATAAGATAAGATCACTTTATTGGCCATATACATTTTTTTGTATTAGAACATTACAACATTAGTTGAATACAACATAAGTTGTATTTCTTGTATTAGAGATTGTATAAGAACAAACGAGGTTCGTTAGCGATGTGATCTGTGAGGTACAGAACCTGACAGAAGAGGCCTGCAGCATATCCGGGGTGGATCGAAGGATTTGAGAAATGCTGCTTCCAGGACGTGCAGGGATAACGGTTTATAAACCCCGTAAGCAAGCCAGGATCTTGTCTTGCAAGTCTTCAATTCAGTTTATTTTTATATAGTGCCTTTCACAACAAGGTTGCCCCAAGGCACTTAACAATGCAAGTGACCCTACATGTTGTGAATACAGAACAGAAAAGACCAGAAGACAACGGAGGAGAGGGACCAAACACTCCTGAGTGAGGAGAAATAAAGCCTCTAGGGGTCCAAGGTCAACTGGCTGTCCAACCCCTCTGGGCACGCTCACGTTATACAATTTAAAAAAAGGAAATGAATGAAACGCCTGTCTCGGGAGAGTGTGTGAGCTACAAGGGATGTGCAGACCGAGGAGTGATGTGGCTCTTCACTGGGTCTCTCCCCAGCATCCAGATGTCGGAGATAAGCGAGGCGTCTATGAGGGAGCTGAGTGGGCGTTTTGCGAAGATGCACCAGCTGGGATACCTGGAGTTGACCTCGAGCCCGAACAGCGACGCCCTGGATTTAACCTGTTCGACAGAGAGCGCAGCGGGCGACACCACTCTTCTTCCGAGTGTGAGGATCGAGGGCGTTCCCAGGGCCCAGACCTGCCTGCGCTGGTTCCTACAGGACTGTGGGTTCTGCCCCAGGACGCTGTACTTCCATGACCAGAAGGAGGAGGAGGAGGTGCAGGGGATGTTGGAAGTCTTGCAGGAGACGGACTGTCAGCTCCAGTGTGTCAGGTAGAGTGTGGGGGGGGGGGGCAGACCGCAGGAAGTCAGAGCCTGTCATGCCTTTGGAGATCCAGACTGACTGGAAGTGGGCAGGAGAGAGCAGCACAGGGGTGTGATGAGAGGACCTGCTCTGTGTTATTCTCTCCATTAACTAGATCCCCTGTACTGTGTCACTGGCGTATCATACATCCGCCTTGCCTGTGTGTCTGTGTGGGTCTCGGGCAGTCGGACAGCTGCTCCCCGTGACTCAGCAGTGGAAGAGAGGTCAGGGCTCAGATCTCAGAGGGGGCACAACAGGGGTACCCCTGAGCAAAGGCACTTGTCAGATTGCCTTAGTAAAAAAAAATCCCATTTAAATAAGTGGGTACAACTGTAAATCACTTTGGCTAAATGCACCTGCCAAATACATTTAGAATAATAAACTAGGTGATGTTTCTCTCTGTCTGATGTGTTGTTTCATTGTCTCAGTGTGTCAGTGCTGTGTTGCGACTCAGTGTCGGGGTGCTGTGTCTGCTCTGCTGTTCCAGTGTGAAGCGCTGCTGTCTCTCGGAGCGCAGTGTTCGAGCCCTGCTGGCCCTGCTGGAGAGCAGACCTGCCATCACCACCTTGGACCTGGAAGGGAGTGGCCTGGGAGAGGCGGGGCTGCGGCTTCTCTGTGATAGGCTGGGGGACATGGGGGGCGGCGGCCTGCAGTCACTGGGGTAGGTGGAGCTGTGTTTGGTTTGTTCCCGTTCAAACTGCCAGGAAAATCAGTGAGGAAGGTTACTGCAGGCATAAAGTCAATTCAGCCTCTTGTCTCTCTGTTCCAAACAATAACCTTTACCAGTCAAGATCATTTTAAATCTGTTATCCCTGGAAGGTTCACATGCTTTAACCCTGTCTGGAAAGGAGTCAAATGCATCTTATAGGTTATTATGCACTTAGGTATTCCCAAGATTAAAAAAACACCCGACCTTTGATCCAGCTGGGCACGTTGAGATGTTGTGTCTGAGAGTGCATTGTGTTCAGCGATGTTAACAGCTAAAATCGATTTCCACTGAATCAGGCGCTGTAGGGTATGAAAAAATAATTGTCCTTATCTGTGAGATGACGGGGCGCAGGTGACCTGTGATGGGCTCAGAATCACAGGAGGAAACCAGTGGTAGAAGTTCTGGTTGTACATGAGCCTTTCTGACCGGCACTTGCGAGAGGTAGTTCTCGTTGCAGTATTTCTGCTCTGGATGACCCGGGCAGAGGAGAGCAGGGAGAGGCGTAGTGAAATCGGGACTGCAGGAAGCTCAGTTAATGGGGACAGCTGCCGGCAGAGACAGGGACTCTTACTGCTGCAGACTGGCGTGACGGGGTTCCAAAGGCCTCCTTTGCACTGTCCTGATGCAATTTTCACTTTTCTCCCCTCTGTTTCCTGGCAGCCTTAATGTATATTTCTAGTGCTTATTTCATTTTAAACCGAGTTCTTTATTTAAGTGCAGTGTGTTGTAACTGACACCAGATGGCAGTGTGCATGAATGACTGAGTAGTTCTTTGCCTCATTCCAGGCTGATGGACACCGGCTTGACAGCCGCCAGTGTCCCCGCCGTCTGCTCCCTCCTGAGGAAGACGGCGGTCAGCGCCCTGAGTCTGGGAGACAACCCCCTGGGGGACGAGGGGGTGAGGCTGCTGTGTGAGGCCCTTGGGGACCCCAGCTGCCAGCTGCAGAGGCTCTCGTGAGTCCCCTCGCCCCTGTCCCCCGGTGTCTGTGACTGCAGGGACTCTCGTGAGTCCCCCCCGCGCCTGTCCCCCGGTGTCTGTGACTGCAGAGGCTCTCGTGAGTCCCCCCGCGCCTGTCCCCCGGTGTCTGTGACTGCAGAGGCTCTCGTGAGTCCCCTCGCGCCTGTCCCCCGGTGTCTGTGACTGCAGAGACTCTCGTGAGTCCCCCCGCGCCTGTCCCCCGGTGTCTGTGACTGCAGGGACTCTCGTGAGTCCCCTCGCGCCTGTCCCCCGGTGTCTGTGACTGCAGAGACTCTCGTGAGTCCCCTCGCGCC